CAACAAAAAAACCACCACACAAAAACCCCCCCCCCCCCCCCCAAAAAAAAAAAAAAAAAAAAAAAAAAAAAAAAAAAAAAAAAAAAAAAAAAAAAAAAAAAAAAAAAAAAAGACACAGCATCATACCATGAAGATAGCAGGGACAATGAAGCGTGAGACAACGTTACTTCACCGAACCGGCGATTTGAGATTACTTCGTCGTTGATTTATGCTTTGGGGTGAGGTGAGCTCGTATCGGGCGATCGCCGCTAAGCGGGTACTACGCTAGGAAGCGTCTAGGCCGTCTCGGAGAAGTTCTTAATATATCGTCAACGGCACTATGAGAATCTGACGTCAGTAAGTCGGTAGTTCAGAAAAGGAAAGAGCGGGCCTGAAGGAATACGAGTTTTACATGTACTTACATATAGACCAAAGTTCCAATGTCTATCCGGTTCTGGTTGTCCAACTAGGCCGATTGCGGGAATTGAACTGGGTAGGTAGACAGGTAAGGTAGGCAGGCAGGCAGGGCTGTGGAGGATTAGCCGGCGAGTCCTCCGCGGCGGCACTAATCTGCAGGTTCGTGAAACGGCCGGGTATAGTGTGAAAGAAGCATTTGGAGCCGGGGATAAACCGCTCGTTTAAATGAAGGGGGGTGTTTAGTACCTACCTACCCGGTCTGGGGTGGCGGTGAGTTGCTTCTCGTGCTTAGTATAATTAGCCGTCATCTCGACTCCCAAGACACGACTCATCTCATCTCATCTGCTCTGAGCAATACGGAACAGATCCTTTGATAGAATATTGCTTATATCTTTTCAGCCTTCTTTCGCTGAACTTGGATTCACACCGACAACACACACACACACACACACACAACACACAGCACTTACCCAACACAAAATGTACACACCGAAGCTCCTAGCCCTCGCGCTAGCACTCCTGCCAGCGGCGCTGGCCCAATGGCCATCCTGCGACCCAAGCTGCAAATCGTGCGGACTGTACTGCAACGAAGGATGTGTGGCACCTCTCGACCTGACCGAGTGCCAGCGGTGTCTGTACTGCCGGCGAGAGTCGTCGTCGTGCGGCTATGTGGACATCAGCGGGGGGTGGACGGAGAACCCGCCGGACCCGGCGTACTGCGCACAGTGCTCGGCGGGCTGCCACTGCCGGATCGACGCCAAGTGCTACGACGGCATTACCATTACGCCTCCGAGTTCCTTCACGCCTACGGCTACGCCTGTGCCTCCTCCTTCGTTGCGCCGGGGCTGAGTTCGGGTGCGGTGAGAATGAATGTTTGGGATGGATTTGATATTGTTTATATGTTGAACTAAGGGAACGCGGTGATGAATGACCTATATGGATAGACTTGCGTTGATTCTTGGAATATGAGGCTCTTCTGTTACTGGATTTGGAAGGGAGGGATGACTGCCAAGCACACCTGTTCATTAGGCATGCATCTACTGCCGCGGTTATAGATACGAAGCATAGGTACCATCATAGACGGGAGACATCCTAACGGCAACAATTTATCGCAGACGGTCGTCATGTAACCTGTCTTCATCATGTTATAAAGATTGTTTGTTGTGCTGAGATAATGACATGGTAAATAGTAGTCCAGAACAATGCGTCTTAGGCATACCTACCTAGTCAACATGAGTGTAAATATACATCTATATACTTACATATACATATGTCGGTAAATAGATGGATGCCTACCTACCTAGGTAGGTAGGTACATATGTATAAGACAACAAAGCCAATGACACAATGTAGCAATGTAGGCCTCTAATTCATCCGGATATACATACTTCGTACATACACAAGATGCCCACATACCGGCCTCTCCAAAACAGATGGTAGCATTTTGTGTTCTGTATTCTGGCTTACACACGAGTCATGTACCTTTCCCGGCGCGGTGTCTAACCTATTCCGGGCTGACTGGAACAAACTAACGAAACTCGCAGACCGTTGCGGTAACGTCATAATCACTGATTTACTTTGGCACTCTCAACAACTTGACCGGTTGGCGCAATGGTAGTATGTTATCCCCATACAACTCACTCTCATCACGAGCTTTCACTAACAGATCATCAGGCGTATAGACCTCCTACTTCCAAGTCATCTACAGTGACCTGTAGAGGTCAGTCTAGGGTTGCGGGTTCGAGTCCCGTGCTGGTCGAATTTTTATCCATTTTTGATAGCCCACATCAATATGTTCATGATATGTTCTATGTTCGTTCATTTGGCCTCGTTACCCATGCTCGCATGGGTATATAAACAAACGGGTCTCTCGGACAATCAAATTTAGCTTTTTGTTTATCTATATCAGATGCTGCCAGCGAAAACTATATTCCAGACAAAGTTCGAATTTGAATTTCTCGTAATCTAAGGCGGAAAGTACTATGTATTATTATATAAGGCCCTTTTGGTGGGGTCGGGCGGACAGCAGGGGCGACGCGCGATAAGAATGCAATCGCCGGCGATAAGGACCTGCAACTTCCTAGGTTCAGCGCGCGAACGCGCCCCCAGCCAAAGCTTCCTGTCGCATTCAGTTCATCGTCGTCGTCGTCGTCGTCGTCGTTATCACCACCACTACTTTCCGTCATCTCTTCGCCCTCTCCCGTTCGAATTCTTCTCATCGCGAACTACATACCGACCTCGAATCAATAACCACCAAGCCACCCAGGGATTCATTTGTCGAATATCATCCCATTGCAACAATCACCAATGCATCATTCGTCTTCATCTTATCCGTTGCCGTAGAACCATAAATATGCCTGTTGCCAGATCACCCACCTCTACAGTGATATGATAGCCCATTGAGCCTTGGCTGTACCATAACATCACCATGGCTACCACAGACGATGTGCCTAAGAGGCAGATAACGCCTGTCCCCGTCCCCATGTTTCCAGTATCCTCCATCCCTCAAGGCATCCCTCAAAAGAGAGCTCTTGAGGACGACCATGCGCCGCCTATCTCATCGCCGCTGAACCCAAACCCCAACCTCAACCCCATCCCGAGCTCGAGTTCAAATCTAAATCCGAGCTCACAATCACACGACGACCCAGTAGCCATGGGAGCTCGCGACAAGCCCACGAGGATCAAGAAGGAGACGCTGAAGAAGCGAGAGTCCAAGATTGGCACTGGTGCTAATACAGCTGCTGGTGGAGGACCTGGTAATGGCCCTGACAGCTCGAGGGCTACCCCTGATCCAAAATCAAAGGAGCCCATACCCAGCGAGTCTTCTCCCTTGCGCTATAAGCTGGCCCCTCCCAAGCCTGCCGACTTCGATCCCGCACGGGGTCCCGTCTTCACCCCTCATCACGACGTTCCCGCCCCTAACGGCTCCACCATCCAGTTCTTCGAGACGTCAGAACAGTAAGCTACCATTTTTTTGATACCAAGAACGCATCCTAATAAAACCGTTGGACAAGCATACTAATTGACATTTGAAGCGTATACAATAAGAAGAGCTATCATTATCTACATTGTATCGCCGATCCTGCTTTCCCTTCCTCATTCTACTATCGCCAGACCGAGCCTGAACCCTATGGCCCTCACATCAGTTTCGAAGATGCCTCCACACACATGTATCTCGATCAATCAGGGCGTCATGTAACGACAGATAAGGGTTTTAGGATGGCAAGAGCGAATGTGGCCGTACGCGAGGGCACATGGTATTGGGAGTGCAAGGTTACCAGAGGAATCTTGAAGGCTGAAAGTGGATCTAAAACCGTGAGCAGTGGCAAGGATGCTGCCTATCAGCCAGAATCGCACGGCCATGTGCGGATAGGCTTTGCTAGACGGGAGGCATCGTTAGATGCCCCTGTTGGGTTTGATGCATATAGCTACGGTCTGAGAGACGTCGCTGGTCAGAAGGTCCACTTGTCACGACCCAAAGAATTCTTCCCGTCCGGTGAGGATATAAGAGAAGGCGATGTAATAGGACTCGAGATTCGACTACCATCCGAGCATTTACACAGGAAGATCGTCCAGGGGCAGTATAACCCCGCTGTGGACCTGAATGAAGAGGAAGAGCCCATTTTAGAGGCGACTAACATTATTCGAGATCGGATACCCATTCGATTCAAAGCTCATATCTACTTCGAAAAGATAGATTATCACGTAACGAAAGAGCTCGAGGACTTAATGAATCCATCACCAGTAGGGGCGTCCGGCCAAGCAGGAAATAGGTCAAGCGACAAACCGAACCCGAACCATGCTATCCCCTCTCTCCGGACATTGCCAAAATCCTACATCAAGGTATACAAGAACGGAGTATTGATGGGCACCCCATTCACCGATCTCTTGGCTTTTCTTCCACCGGCCTCGAAACCCCAAGCGCAAGTAGGCGCCAGAGAAGGTAAAGACGACGGCATGCTTGGGTACTATCCTGCCATCAGCGTGTTTCGAGGAGGCGCGGTCCAGACCAATTTCGGGCCGGATTTCTGGTATCCACCTCCTGGGTATGCACGTCCACCGACAGATGTAGAGATGATGGACACGGATGAGGATACGGTGCACGTGGGCACGCCGCAGCAGAGAAAGCTGGATAAGCCGCGAGCTGTGGCGGACCGCTATGACGAGCAGATCGTCGAGGATATCGTCGCAGACATCGTCGACGAGGTCGACTTCTGGATGCAAGATGGCGCACGCGTACTTGATCGTACCGGCGGGCGTGATGAGAAGGCCGAACCAGTCGGCATTGCACCTGCAAGCGAGGAGATCAAAGAGCTGGTCCAAGATGACTAGTGCTTATTATGTGGACATGATCGCAAACTTGCATTCTCCCACGAACACAGACGCAGGGAAGCGTACTCTCCGCGAGCATCAGTGCCTTTCATAGGGTCATAATGACTGATGCCTAGCTGAGTGAGATGGACGCAATTTGAGGAACCTGACGAATGACTGTCTGACCAGATGATATGATATGACTAGTCCACCACGAAGGTAGCGTTGGAAAGATACCGCTGCGACTATCCCGACGACGAGGGAAGGGATTCCGCTGAGTCTGTTTGGGAGCGTACTAGGTGGTAAGATACCTAGGCAGTGGTAATTATACCCGCACAGACAGGAATATACCCATATATTATATTCATGAGAAGCAACTTTGAAGTGTTTTGATGCGGATTAGTATTGTTTCTAGTAGCCAATTCTTGATCTGATTGCAATGCCGACATACACCTGTATAAGCGAACTAGATCGGTATGTAGTTCTGTGACGATATCAGAGGTTAATATATAACATTTCTAGCCCGATTTCGATATATTATATATTGTTAGCATACAGCTTATGATATTCATAGGCAGAGTCCTGCATTCGTATCTCGTAAGTCAGACGCACCCACTATTGCCACTTTAATCCTTCGTCAGCCAAAACGCTCCTATCATCCGCGAGCCAGTCCCGAGCCCATTGTACATTCTCCCTCTACACCAGTATTGAGCGCCGACCACACAATGGCTTTGCATCTGCTCCTTTGCTGAGCAAGTATGTGCAGACGTCCAATCTACCGTCTCTGGCTGCCCTGCCTAAGGGTGTTCGTAGCTGACGGTCTTTTCCTTCGATGTCGGCTCCGTGGTTGACGAGAAGCTTGACGGTGCTGAGATTCCCGTTGGCTGGAAAACGAAGGTGAGCGGGCCTATGGTGACGAACGACGGCATATTATTGGCGATGGTCTCTGCCCGGACGTTCTTGTGAAATGGGTTGGTAATCTCAAGTACGTATATGATCGGGATATCATAAAACATAACCTCACTACGTGTTGAGTGCTTCGCTGCCCCATAATTGTAGGCATAAGATGTCTGCTTATTTCTTCATCATCACCTAGTCATCACAAACTCGGCCTCCATTGCCACGACCTAATTGTATACAGCAGTGTATTTGAATAGTCCCCGCTTCCATGTGCTTATATTAATAATTTATATTATATAATGAAAAGAGTAGGAAAAGAAATTAAAAGAAAAGAGAAGAATAAAATACATATAATTACCGGGTATCTTTTATAGTCATCATCATCGTCGCTTACCAGCTCGCTGCGCGGTATATTACCCTGTCCTGCCAAACCATACCAACCCTAATTAATGAACGAAGTACCAGACAAATAAAACCATCGTAATCATGCCGTTGATCAACTCTCCCGCCCCATCATTGCGTTTATCAAACGTCAAGTTATCACCTCTAGTTTTCCTCCGCCCCTTCCATCACAAGTACCTAGTCGCAGCGCATCTCGTACTACCAGCGGCACCACGCATAGCCAGCACTACTGAGCAGCCGTACCACCAGCCGCAGAAGAAGTCCCAGGCGCAGGCGCAGCAGCAGTCAACATAGGATCATCAGGTAACTCCTCGACCCTCGGCCGCCCCTCAATCACCTCATCATCCTTTCCCCCTTCCGCCTCATTCTTCTCACTCGCCTCCCGCTCAAGCCTCACCTCGCGGCCCCTCTTATAGCAATACCAAAGCATACTCAGCAGCAAGAACACCGCGAGACTCCAAAGGACATTGGTCCCCACGAAGGCAGGGAATCTCGTCTTCAGCGCGTTCACAATGCCTTTCAACAGCCCTACTAGTGCCCCCGGCCGCGTGACGAGATCGTGGAGATTAGACGGCGTGAGGAATTTCTTGGCTGCGGATTTCAACCCGCCTTCGCTGTCCCCCTTGAGTTCGAGACCTTGCGCCTCCGCGGCTACGGCGAGTAATTCCGGGGCTAGACTCCCCGTGAGTTTCTCGGGGAGTTGGGCGACGAGTTTCTTCATGCTAGACGGTAATTTCTCGTACGTCTTTGCAATGACCCCGTCGCGATCGTCGAGGAGCGAGATTAGATCGTTGTAGGCGGTGGGCACGCCGTTGATGAGGTCCTTGAGGACTTGCGTGAAGCGGCGCGCCATGTCTGCGGATTCGGAGGATAGGGAGAACGCCCGGTTGTTTTTCGCTGATAGGTCCAGGTCATCTAGGACCCGGGCTAAGTCGCTTGATTCTTTGGATGCTTCTTGCGTCGAGGGGACGGCTAGGTGGTCGGGTTTGAGGTCCGGTGTGGGTGCGGGTTTGTTGTGGCGGCGGGATAAGGAGCGGGATAGGTTTGTTACGAAAGTGAAGCGTTTGGGTTTGGGGTCATCTGGTGATGAGGATTTTTCTTGTTTTCCCTTTCCTTTGGCATCTTTGGATTTGCTGGCTATGCTAGATGTGTCGGAATCACTGTCGATATCGAGAACGGGTGTCTTGACGCGCGGCGGGAGAGGAGGGGGTGTCTCGTCTTCATTGACGTCGTAGTGCAAGAGACCCGTGTCGGATGTGAGGCGCTCGAGGAATTTCTCATCCTCACGGTCGAGAATCGGAGTTCCGTGGATTGAACTGCTATCACTGTCGTCGCCATCATGGTCGATAGGCTTTGAGATAATCTTTGGAGATGGTGACGATGATGTAGCAGTTGCATCCAATCCTGTTGCTTCTTCTGGTAATGGTTTTCCATCTTTCATAATCTCTGGTGCCTTTTCCTTCCCTTTTCCCTTTTCTTTATCGCCATTTTCTTTTTCTGCGGCCTTCTGCTCCCGGTGCTTCTTCACCTTTTTGAAAGCGAAGTATTCCAACATCTTGATTGGTGTATTCGGCGACTTTTGGTGAGTGGAGGGAAAGATCGAGGTGGAAGGTTTTAATGACAAAGATCCCGGGCCAAAGGTAAGTTCACAACTTTATAGCGAGAAGACAGGATGTTAATTATAATGTCTGCAAGTGTAAAGCTTGCTGCTGTTGATTGTCAAGACAACGAAGAGGGATCATGGTGGGAGGCCCCTCGACATTCTTGGCGGCCGCTACGTCAGTGATTGCACCGCCACACTTAGCTTACTTAGCAAGTACATTGTGGCGAAAGCATCTTCAACCTCAATATGGCATCAAAAGGGGCAAAGTATGAAGAACTCTGGCAATTGTAGACAAATGCCACATGCCTTTGAGAAAGATTATTTGAAATTTTGGGGTATCAACAACGCACAGTAACACAAATAGGATGCTTGTGTATGGTACATCTGTGGAACTCGCAACACGCATTTCCATGCATCCTTCGCTAGAGATTAGAATCTTCTATGACATGCAGAAAACTTAATAGGAGTAGTCTGAACCATCTCAGGCTACATCCGTCTGATTCATTAGTATCGTGAACTTGGCCACTTTCGTTTCATATTCCCCATGTTGATATCATGAACATTTCATTTCATTTCATTCCTCATCAATCTCACCCTCGCCCTCCTCATCACCATCCTGCATGATGCTTTCCGTCCCATTACTATGTCTTGCACTCTTCCCGCTCCGTCTCCTACCGCGTTGATACGCTTCTGTTTCCGTGACCGCCCTCTCCCCGACAAAGTGTCTTCCCGACCATTCCTTGCTGCACTTGGGACATGCCCGTGACCGCCTCGTCCGGAAGAATGCGTCGGCGCAGTAATCATGTAATCGGATGAGACAATCCCGCTCCACGCACCGCTGGCCAATTGTGACGACATCCTTACATGCCTCACAGAACTTGACGCGTTGCCACTCCCCTTCCTCGGCATCCGGGTCATTGTATGACTCTAGAAGCCACGACCTAAGCTCGAGCAGTGCCCGCGAACTAAGATAATAGAATCCCTCGCGACTGCGCTCGAACCAGCCTTCGTTAACCATGCTTCGCATGACCGTCTCAACCTCACTCGACTTGAGACCCTTGGGTGCCTGACTCTGCATCTCGCCATTCTCCATGGCCTCGTCGTCGTTGTCCGGCCGCGGCGGCACCCGCAACTTGTTGGCCTGCATCTCGTCCAGACACAGCGCCTCCATGCGCGGCGTGTTGTATTTTTCAAACATGGCGTCAATAACGCGCTTGACGAAAGCAATCTCGTCAGGCGAGTGCAAGGTAGCCAGTTGCGTCAGAGCGTCTGACATCGTGTTTACGACGGCGTAGACGCGCTCCTTGCGGATTTGGTGCATGATGCTCCGGATCTCGAGATCGAAGGGAGAGATGGCGTCCGAGGCAGCCGAGATGTAGGAGTCCAAGTCTTCCTGGGTGATCTGACTGGGCTCCACAGGCTCGTTTTCCTGGGCTGTGAATATGGCTGCTAATATGGGTTTTGACTCTGCGAATGTCATGGTTCCCCTCGCTAGGAGAGCCTGGAGGAAGGCGCGGTTGCCATCATTGTACTGGCCAGCGAGTTCATCTTGGTCCTCGTCCATGATTAGATGGGCGGTTTCAGTATGCTATGCTGATGGATATGATTTGTAGCTTGATGTATTCTTTTCCTTCTTTCTCTCTTCAAATGAAGAAGAAACAAACGTTAATGCCTCAGGTTTTCTTCAATTGCAACCTATGAATAATGCTGGTGCTTGGCGTCAAGTGTGGTGAAATGCAAGACGCGCTCCAAGTGAAAACGCGTTAATGAGTACAAAAAGGGAATGGGCTAGCGGGTGGGGTGCCTGGAACAGCTGCCTGGATTTCGCCAAGACAGCGCTGTAAAGCGGGGCTAAAAAAGAATATAGGGATTGTTCTTGGCCCTGGAGGCTGAAATAAAGGTGCTATCCCACGTGGCATGGCGATACTAGCAGCGCATTAAGAATGAAGCTTAACTTAAATAAGTATTAAACTACACGTTTTCTTTTCAATTCATCGCCATTGTTCATCTGCCTGATTCATTTCATTTTATTAACGAGAAAATTATCTACTTATTTATCTAATTATATACTATGTAAGAGCACATCTACATGGGCATATGTTATAAGATAGATAATAGATGGTAGATCATATCTTTACATAGGTAGCCGCAGCACACGCCCCTATATAGTATTGAAAACCCACACTTACCTCAAAACCAGAGGGCCAAGATAAGGAGAAACCAAGAATGAAGAAACCAGGCAGCTGCCTAGTGGTTTAAATGATTCACTCATTCATTGCTTGAATGGATACTAGGTATTATTAAAAATATCACATTATGCAAAAGCATCTTTTATATCTCCAAGCACTCGCTGCCTTATCTCATCCCAACTCATCTCACCTCAGTTCACACTCCTCACAATTCAAAGCAATATTATCTCTACCAATCTAATCAGATATTTTAAAGAACCTAAGTAGATAAACACCTCCTTACTTCAATCCCATATAAATATAAAAATCCAATACCCATCCCGCCAAAAGAGTAAGTGAATCCATACAATTATCACACCAGTCCCATCCATCTCCATCTATACAATCCCAACCCCGATGGAACGGATGGTTTCGCATATCCTCCCTTACTTACATCCCTACCTACCTACTTATATAAGTAGGTACACGTACATAGCAAGTAGATAGCAAGCAACTGATGATCACCCCATACAAAAACATCCAGCAGCGCGAATACTCGTATTACCAACTATAGATCTACAACGACCAATCAGTAGAGTACGAATTAAATGCCATTCATTCCATTCATTTCTATTCCCTACTCTCATAGAACAGAACAGACACCCAGTGTCGCAAAACCCTTCATTCCAATTCACGCCAGTGCCTGCACCACTAAGGATAAGCTTTGACCCCTGCAAGTTTCCATACATCGTCCCGTGTCTTGCTTATACCCCTCGGAGCATCATAATGAAGAATAAGCACCGAAGACCAGGGACACGGGAATTGAGGAAGAAACAATCAATGAAACCTCGTGCCATGTAATTAACAGTAACAGAAAAAGAAAAAACCAAAGGGTATATAAAATGCAGAACCCTAATATAACGCCCAATGCACCGAGCAAGTTCATAATATATCTGTCCGTCCGTCAGTCCGTCTTCCTACCCCATCCGACAGTCCAGAAGACAACCTCTATATCATCTACCACCTTCGAGACAACTTTGGAAAAAGTCTCGTACTAGTGTAGAGTGAGACCAAGTCCGAGTCCGATATAATACATCCATCCATCCATTCGAAACTCCAAACTCATGCAAATTATGAAAAGCAAGCAATATACAAGCGCCTAGCCTAGCGCGAACCGACAAGAACGACAGAGACTCGGATAACGAGTATCTATAAGAAAGAAAGAAAAAAGGAAGGGAAGAAGCCAACGATCGCGACCCAATCATTCGGCAGGGGCATCGACAAACGGCGTAAAATTATCTCGTCCAAGGAATCGCTCCTGATCCGAGCCCTCGAACTGATTCACGCCCGTCATGCCATCATCACCGTCGTCGTCGACAGTCTCATCGATTCCTCGCTTGGTTTTCTTCTGCTGGATATCGCCTCTGGCAAGGTGAGAATAATCTTTAAGTTCGTGCTGATGCACCGTGCGCTGCGCCAACAGGATATCCTCATACGCCCGAAGCGTATGCTTCAGATCTTCGTCCATGCTGACGCAGAACCTCTTATACGTGAGGAATTGGCAGACCTGTGCCGCGCTGAGCCCAAGAATGGCCATTATATATGCGCTCACGACGCTAGCAGAGCGGTCATTGCCTGTCTCGCAGAAGACCAGCACTTTGCCTCTTTTAATGGAGGACTCGTCGACGACCATGTCACCCGTCTCTGGGTCAATCTGCGCTGTCTTGACGGCTTGTTCGCGATAGACGCGCAGCATGTGATCGTTGATCATGCGGATCGCGGAAGGGAAGGCGGGGATCAGTTCGTGATAGCCCGCGACGTCTAGGTAGCGAGCCTCGATGCCCATCTCTTCGGCCAACTTGTCGAAGGCCATGATTTTCAGCCCAGCTTGTTTCGTATCGCGGGCAGCTAGGATCATAGTGATGCCTTCGTCTCGGAGCCACTTGCGATCCCTCGCGACGTTGGAGGGGCCGAGGTAGAGGTAATCTAGGATGGGCTGGGCAACGCGACGGTTTTCGTATTCCCAATGGGCGGCGGAGTCTTGGGCAACTTGTTCGAGGCCGTTTTGCGTGATGATGGCGAGGTCCTTATTGCTCAGGAATGATGGGTCGACATTGTCGTAGCTAGGCACGATCTTCATGGGGGTTGTCCAATTAGTGGGTGGTGGGATGACGAACGGAGGGTTGGGAGTTTGACGTGTGTATGGTGCGGTAGGCACTGCGGCGTGGCGGATGCGAGCTATGGACTCCATGGTGATGCTAGCCTTACAGTCCGACGTTAAGTATTCCCAAGAATGAGCCGGGGGCCAATTGGCCTCTTGTGACGGTGGGAAGTTGGCGACGCGCGGCGTTATGTTACGTTAGGTACTCAATTGGTAATTGAGACCGAAGAGCTGGGAAGCTGGAGTCGGATAGACCGTGACGTCAGGCTGCACGCGAATGCGCTCGGCAGCACAGGAGATGGGACGAAGGGATTCAATACACAAGACAAGGTAAGAGATAGCGGGAAGAGACAGATTAAGTGGAGTTGAAGTCGAGGTGGGAGCAAGCAGTGATCTGCAGGTTCAATGATCCAACAATGAATGGGATTGCAGAGGGATTGATTGCAGAGATTGGTCGAGTTGTTGAAGCTGTCGCAAAGACCGACTTCGACTTGACTTGGCTGGAGTTGACTTGTATGGGTGGGAACGTGCAAAAGCGGATACCCCCGGTGTGCGGTAGAGTTGGTAGAATCAGTAGAATTGAATGTTCCAAGGTTGTGAGAATGCTACTACTGTCCGTCGAAGAGCATGGGATAAATCAATAGAGTCCAGCGAAAGAAGAAGTTCAACGAGTTCAAATGAGCTCCAATGCTGGTTGCACAGCGACCGAGGCAAGACGCACGCGGCAACGAAGGAAGGAAGGTGCTGACTGGAGCCTGCCCGTGACGATGTCCACCACCTGCCTCTTAATACAACATCCCACTATCAAGCTCGCACCTGCTGATGGCAGGTACGGTGGGAGTGGCTATATTACCCCTCACAGTGGATTCCTTCAGTAGACTAGAACTTCAACTCAACAACATCAATACAATCCTTTGGCAATCCATTCGTTTATCACTGCCGAGTCTAGAACCAACTAAGTACTAGTAGATTCAAGGGTCAGGTCTAGCCTCGGACACACAAATACACCTGAACATACCTACACCAAGGAAAACAAGAGTGAAGGTTCATTACTATAATTAGTAGAAGGTTGGTTGGTTGCCTATTACTGATGAGAAACAACACAAAAAAAGAAACAGAAATATTAGTTTGAGCGGCGTGCTGTGTACTACTGTATGTACATGCTCGTTTGTATGTATCGCGGACTAGATGCAGGTGTAGGTAGGTACTTTCCCGAATAGGTATCCATCGTCAACTTCGATGTTTCTCTCAAGCCCTCTACCCCAATTCATGGTTATTACTACCTAGGTTAATCATAACATATCACCGACAAACCCCTAACAATCATGATAATCCTGACATTGGTCTTGACTGGTGGTGAGTAGGTAGATTTATTGTAAATGATGATCCTACAATGTCATGTTCCAGTGTCACGATTAGGTACCTACCTACCTACCTACCTGAATACACGCCGTCTAAATAATGTCTCGAGGTCGAGACTCGAGCAATTCTAAGAATTGCATACTTCCAGAATAACATATAACCTTTTGAAGTGACATGTTTCCCAGCAGCTGGAAACGACATATGTTAAGTCTTACTCATGCCGCAGGGCCTATAACTAAGTAGAAACCACTTCATGCACTTGGAGAGAACTTTCACAATGCATTTTAAAGACACTCTTTCAGATTGAGGTACTATCTACCAACTGTATGAAACCCCTTTCAGGCTTCACTTTTCACCCACCGCATGGAAAGCATCGCTATCCACACTACTCCCCCTAGCCAGAGGCGACGGGTTTTCAGGCGTCACAGATTGCCCATCGATGCCCGGTCGTTTAGACCTCGACCCCGTAGAGACATGTTTCTTGCGTCTCTTGTCCGACGCATTGGAGCCCGTGCTGGCCTTCCTGCTAATACTCGCCTCGTCTGATTCCACGGGCGGCGTCGGGCTCCGCGACGACGATCCCGCAGAGGTACTACCTCGCCGGACGCTGCCGCTCCGCGTGCGCTTGCTCTCCTTTATTATCGCCGACGTGCGGCGGTAGTGGTTCTTCTCGAAGTCGGTGCCCGCACCTGTCGTTCCTATCGTCTTTTCCTCCGTCCGACGGCGTGACCCCGGGAACCACCAGAACCACCGGCTGCGTTGGCGCGCGTTCTGCTTATCCCTTGCCTGTAGCTTCTTTCGTAGTAGAGCACGTCGCTCGTTCTCCTTTTCCCAATACTCGTTCCTATAGATCTCCCAGTTTTCTCGGAAATTGGCCGAGAATGGCTTGGGCCATAGGAGAAGCTTGACGTAATCACCGCCAGGTGCAAGATCCTCTTCATGACCTCCGCGTTCCTCATCACCACCAGAGATGAAGGGAAGCTGAGGATGCTCCTTGCCTCCAAGGTTTAATTCTCTGTCCACTTCTCGTAGGACAGACGGTTCCACAAATCGATACTGTCCCGCCGTGTTGGAGAATGCACCGTACGTGAAAAACCAGGTAATGGTGGACATGATCTCCACCCACCAGGGTCTCTTGATAACGACCAGTTTGCAATTGAAGCCGCGCAGGCCTCTGTTGGATATGGTGAACCACCTGCGAGGCCACCTGATGCCGCGATCCCATATGCCCGTAGCCCACACCAAGATTCCCGTGACAATACCGCTAATAAAGCACACCTTCTCCGTCATGTCGACGACCCAGTAGACGGAGCCGCCGACACCGCTCCCATCCTCGCGCGGGGCCAGGAAGAGCGCGTAGCCGAAGCCGGCCAGCCAGACACAGAGAAGGCTGAGGAAGAAGGTGTGCTTGCGGCGGCGGGCGCGCAGCTCGAGGTATTGCGCGCGCAACGAGGCCTCGAGGATGAGCATGTTGAGGTAGATCATGGACGGTGAGCTGGGGGCATTGTGCAGAGGATCGACAGGCTTCACGGCATCGACGCCACTAGTTCCGACGGGCGACTTGATTTCGTGGCCAGGCTGCGGTGCGCCCTTGACGATGGAATCGATCGAGTCCGCCATTTCCAGGCAGGCAAGCCGGGCTCGCCACGAGGAAGACGATGAGACGCAGCCGACCCGAACCCGGCGCGGGGAAAGGGGGACGAAGGAGAGGGTCGACGAAGGGGACGTAAGCCCACGTCTAAGGTGCGTCACCAGGCTAGCGAGCGCATTCGCCGTGGACTGTCGGAGTTTTCGATATGTGTGTGTGTGTGGAATGGCGGTGAGAGGTGATCGCACAGAGTATCTAGTAAGAAGGCTTCAGACCGCGACACTCGTCGTGTTGCCAGCTCGAACTGCTGTGTAATAGGATGTAAGTATGTAATATCGAGTGGCCCATCTGCCGCTGCACGTCATTTATTTTTACCAGGACAGGGCTGGGTCGAGCTGGTCGAGCTTGGGGCAGACTTGGGGCTAGATAGGTCCTTGCCGGGCTCTTTCCGGGGTCTGAGCTGTGCTGCGCTAGTGCTGAGGGCTGACCTACCTAGGCACACACATCCACTAAAAGGGTAGGTAGCGATAGGTAAGTAGGTACCTAACCTACCTACTACCTACAGTACAGCAGGCTGCAAATAGGCTACAGTGCATGTAGGCTACAGCAGGCACCAGCCTAAAATAGCTTGAAAGTAGGTACCTAGGTAGGTACTTACTAAGGTACCTAATCTACTATGTATCTACATGTGAAATACCTATCACGATGCTCACTTACAGTTGTAGAAGACGGCTGTCTTTACACCAAGCCCTCTATCACGACCCAGCTTGAAGCTACTGAACAGTTATATATATCTATATATTGATATTAATAAGAGATCATCTTCTTCAGACGATATCCGAATAGTACCTAGGTAATATATCCAACCTGCCAGCAAACTGCTTCCAATGTCATCGTCATCGTCATCATCAGCTACCTACCTCCCGAGATAGGTGGTAGCATCCATCTTACCGCTTCCACGCGCATGCAAAGAAAGACCATGACAACAAATCCTCGTGGCATGTACAGAAAATCTTCCCATCACACCAATCATGTCCCCTGGATTACGAGCCTTACAACGCCATACGTCAATGCTTACGTTGCATGGGAAGAGCTGTACTGTTACTTCCGCACCGTCATCCAAAATTTTCCCCTTCTTTTTCTATGATGGAAACGCAGTAGAGGCCACGAATTGCGAGGTCTCCGAATCGCATTCTCCTACCCTCCCCTGCTCTTTGCTCTGTCTCCAGACTGGGGCAGAGATTTCCTGAATGAATTCATCCCGAACTAGCGATCAATCGACTCATGTGGTGCGTCGCACCGCAGGGCAGCTCACCCGCATGTCATCTCGGTGTGGAACAGGACAGCCTTGGTTACTTACTGTTGTGCGACTGGTAAGGGGGTGAGCATCTAGGTATTATCATGATCCTATAATAGGTAGATTTACGTGTGTGTGCGTCCTTGGTATGTGGCTGATATACTCCTGCGCTTATTTATACATACCTACCTCTCTCACCCTGTCTCTCTGTCTCCTATATATATGTATATGATCGAACCCCGGAACTGCTATGTTATAGATATATCATGTATTGTATTCGCAAGTGAAACAAACCGTCCATTGACTATCATCCACCATCGGCACTCCGAGAGGATATACCTACCTACCTTGACGCATATAGACACATTCACATCCGATTTTACCTGTCTACCTATCATCTCGAGAACGCACTCAACCCACCTTTCGAATGCTTCAAGTAATATTCCCCTTCCGCAACAACAAAGCCATGTCTTCTCCCAATCAGCCGGCCCCGAATGCCGGCGCCCATACATTGGAGAAACCTCAGCCACCTTTACCTCCCCATCCCATCAAGCTATCCACAGCCAGCACAGCATCCAGAGCTGTTCCCCGACGCACAATGGCGACAGAGATCAACTACCCGGACCCCCTCCCAGGCGGGTTCCAGCCGGGGAAGAAGTGTTGTGAGCATCATCATCATCACCATCACCATCCCATGGCCGAGACCAATTCCTCAGGAGGATGGGGGCATGTAGCACATCTCCTAGGGCTATCGATGAGCAACACGTGGTCTCAACGAGCGCTCGCTGACTTGAAGTGTTGAAAAGTGCTTTTCTGAAGCGTGTCGCTGCCGTCATACCCACGGACTATGAAAGCAGGCGGGAATGCACACCTCAATGCGCGCATGGCATCGTCTTGGCTCGCCAAACAATCTCGGAGGAACCTCCGTGCGCGGCGGCATCGATTTGATTCGTCGGCATGCTGCTGCGTTGAAACCAAGGGCGCTCCCTTGTTTGGTCCTTTCGAAATTTCCCGCGTTTATGAACTTGGACGACGTTTCATGTTTTCTAATGTTTGTCGGTGATTTTGTTTCCTCATTTTTTTTTTTTTTTTAGCGAGAAGCTGTCATCGAGGCAGTATATCTAGGGTCACTGCCAAGACCCAGACATTACCTATCTCTTTTTCAACGGATTTTCTTTTTGTCGAGCATGACTCGCATAATATGGTACATGTTAGATAGATTTGCAAATGGTCACCCAGGCGTTCATTTGAAGCAAGAAAAGAGAAAGAGAAACAGAGAGAGAGAGAGAGAGAGAGAGATATACAATTAACAGTCTATCTGTATGTAAGGGATTTGACTGTTTTCTAAATATGGCTATAAAATGAACTGGGTTATCTACCTAGGTCCATGTAGTCTGCTTACCACTGCATGCTTGGACGGATTTAGCGGGGTAGGTGTTCTGGTATCTCCGGTGTGCTACTTTTGCCCTTTTTTTCCTTTTCAGAGAACCTACAATACCTAAGTAAAACCAAGCTCAATGGAGGGAATCTAAAAGGGAGTGGTATTTTCATATCAGATGGTGATTAGGTATGGAAGTGGTCATGACAGCATCGGGATATTACACATACATAGTATGTGTTCACTTCTCACCAATTACCTGTGTAAGCATTCCACGATATAAATAGGTACGATGTACAATGTACAATGTACAATGTAGACGGGATCCGAGGGATAGGCGATAGGTAACTGTGCCCGGCAAGGGGCCGACTCGGCACGGGCTGACCCAGACTCCGAGTCTCCAAGATGCCACGGCTTTGATTGGCCCGTTGCTCCCAATCAAGAAAATCAAGAGAGTCAAGAAAACCACTACGGCGGGACAGCCCACTAAGGCAGGCTAAGACAGAAGCTAGGACTCGTTCTCGTCGCCTCACGCTCGGCTTGGCCAGACCAGGAACAGCCAGCCAGCCATCTCATCTTGACAGATCTGCTTCGTCATCCGTTATCCGCCATCCGCCCCCCAGGCGCTTGTCAGAGCCGTGGCCGGACACACGCACTGATTGATGTCTCCGTTGCTTAGCCCCGTCCGTATATAACCTGGCGATGGTGTCAGTCAGCCGCCTCGCCTCCCTTCCGATCCGGCATGCTCAAGAACCCACCCTCATTCCTCTTCCACTTGAGGAAACTCGTCTCCACCATTGCCCGGACTCAACAGGTCGATTCATCTTCCGCCACCATCGCCACCTCTGCTGCTACCGTCACCACTTCGGCCATTGCCTCTTCTCCCAGGTCTCATAGCATGTCCGCCGCGGAAGCAGCTGCATCTGTCTCATATCCCAGTCGAGAGCACCAGTCACCACGCACCGCGCAAAACACCCAACCCACAGCACCAGCCGGCAGACCGCCACCACGACAGCCCGGCATGGCATTCTTTCCCCTCGGCTATAAAGATGCTGTCCAGCAATGGGTAAGCCAGCACATCTATCCTTCTAATTCCCTCATCCGCGTGCTAACGACGACACCGTATAGTGGACCAGTGTGACTCCCACCGTCGCAGAGCGGAACGTAATATCATGTATACCCTACCTACGAGAAGCCATTGCCGCCGATACCAGTCCGTTAGCCCGGGTTCCGTCCGCCGAAGACCCTGGTCAGACCGCTACATCTGCTCAGAACGACCCATTCGGACCGCGTATGTGGAAGTCGACTATGGTAGAACTATCCGGCAAGAACCGCGGAATCAACGAATTCTCCATTGAACGTGTCGGTGAGCCCGTCGACGATGCCCTAGTCATGCTCCATGGATACGGCGCAGGATTAGGTTTCTACTACAAGAACTTTGAGCCATTGAGCCGACTGACAGGTTGGAAAATATACGCCTTGGACTGGCTAGGAATGGGCAATTCGAAGCGGCCACCGTTCAAGATTACTGCTAAAGATCCCAAAGAGAAGACCACAGAGGCCGAGAACTGGTTCATTGATTCGCTGGAAGAGTGGCGGAAGATCCGCAAACTCGAGAAATTCACCATTATCGGCCACTCACTAGGCGGCTACTTAGCTGTCTCTTATGCACTCAAATATCCCGGCCACATCAAGAAGCTCATTCTCGCATCTCCCGTTGGTATCCCCGAGGACCCGTACGCCATGAACGCTGAAATGCCCGAGCCTTCGGAATCGACATTCCAGGATGAATTCACGGTCGACCAGCAAGCAACGACGACACACCACGACAATGACAACAACAACAAACTATCTGGCACCAATGCTCAACCAATCGGCACAGAACCGAACACGCCCAAGAAAAGGCCTTATCCAAGCTGGCTCGTCTGGCTCTGGGACGCCAACGTATCCCCCTTCAGCATCGTGCGTCTCGCAGGCCCTCTCGGCCCACGTTTCGTATCAGGCTGGACATCGCGCCGTTTCAACCACCTACCCTCCGAAGAGAAGCAAACCCTGCACGACTACGCCTACAGTCTCTTCCGACAAAAAGGCAGCGGGGAATACGTCCTCCCTTACGTCTTAGCTCCAGGCGCGCACGCCCGCAGACCCGTAATCAACAGGATCCACTCCGTTGGACGACAGACCATCTCTCCCGCCACGTCTTCCGCCCCAGCAGTCAAAGAACACGGGTTTCCGATCGTGTTCATGTATGGCGAGAACGATTGGATGGATGTCGCGGGCGGTCTAGCGTCTGAGGAGAAGTTGAAAGAGGCCAAGATTAAGGTGTTGGAGAAAGCTAGTGAGGAAGAAAGGAGGAAGGAGAATGGCTCGTGTAAGGTCGTTGTTGTGCAAAAAGCGGGTCATCATTTATATCTGGATAATCCCGAGGAGTTCAATGAGTATGTTAGGAAGGAGATGGAGGATACGAGAAGGGAGACGTTGAAGGGGAACACTGCGTCGTGAGCTTGTTTGGCCTTGGGAAGGCTTTGAGCTAGGTGTTGGTTTGTTGGTTGATATGCATTGCGTGGCGTTTATTATTTTCTTTTCAATTACCATATCATATCATATCATATTATATTATATAATAGATAGGCGTAGATTGGGCGGAGGGTTGTTTACATACTTAGGTAGGCATTGTGTCCTACTTTAGATACTTACTTAGTTAGATATTTCGGTTGTCCGGAATGAATTAAGGCTAGATTTGGCCTGAGTTTATCATGAATGAGACGGGATCAGATGAATGGAGGAACGGAGGAACAGAGGGGTAGGTAGATCAGGGTATGGTCTCTTGAGGTCGTCTCTTGGCGTTATCGAGAGATGAAGCTGGAGTGTATATTGTATACATGTTAAGTATATTTATATGATGCTATTATGATAGAGACCTCGATTGAACGCGTGAATTGAGGGGTATGAGTATGAGTGTGAGTGTGAGTATATTCAAGTATAAATTAAAGTAAACGTACGATGTCGTTTATTTCATTGAATGATTAATTAATTACTGGATGTGATGAGTGAGATCTTAGGAAGAGGTCTAGAGTGTTGTTTATAAGTATGTTGAGAGAGATGAGTTTCTTTTCACGAGTTCTTCGTTTATTTCATCTTATCTTATGATAAATAAAAACCATCATGCGCGCGGAGGGAGGGGGGTCGTTGTAAATTCAATTGTTGGTCTAACTTATATGTCTTTTTATATTATTTCAAGTAAGCTTTATTCACGCATTCAATATTTAAATCATCTGCTAGTATCTGATTCTCATTATATATGTGCATGAGATTGGTTAGGTATGTATGTTTCTATGTGAGTTGTACACACACATATATATATCACTGAAATGGATCACTAGGCTAGATAGCGGCTACGTAGTACTGATTCATTTGCGAATATAGGACCATGTGAGATGATTGGCGTTTTTGATGCGTTGGTGTGATATCAAGATGTTTGGGGTTTCTAGATTAATTAAAACTTAACGTCATTGTTATATTGCCACTTTCTACGACAACACCAATAACCTCGACTAGTTGCATATATGTAATGCGAATCTAGTAGAAACTCAACGCCAACTGCAGACCAACTGCTGAGAGCGACTTGAATAACTACAAGGTATAATATGATTGAAGTGGTTTAATGCAAGCTCTTTCGCATTCAATGTGGCGAAGGCCTTGCCAGAGCCTACGAGCTGGGTTTGTTGACCCGATCTGACCCGATATTTTGGCCGTTCAGTCTAGTCGTCCGTGACCCAACAAAGGATTAACTTGGTAATAACCACATAACGTACGGTCGAGATAGGGTAAATAAACAGGTTGATCAAGCGGCCCCTCATTGTCATTAGTCGGTGCACTAATCCTAGGCGAAAGGATGCGCACGTCTAATTGAGACTGTCAAAGGTATACTTGATTTAGAAAAGATCACCACCACGTGTTACAATTTGGGATCTACGAACACCATCTCGTTTTGTCTCAGTGAGACGGAAGACTCTTCTGTGGGTTTGCGATGAATGATCTACATTTACAGATCTCGGTGCTAACCGGATCGACATTTTCACGCAAATCAATTCATGTCTAGTTCTTTAGATAGAATGATTCGGTTGTCACTTAGAATCGTTGATAAATTTTGCGTTAAAAGATTCTAAATGAATAAATATAAGATATGAAGCGTTTGCTTTCGGTCGTTACTCGGCGCAGCTGGCAGGTTATCAAGTATTGAGAGGGGCCATATAAGCAATTGGCACACCACTGCATATCCCATATCGCCATATAACCTCATCAGCCCATCAATGACACCCTACTCCTGTGCACATGATAGTATTTCCTTGATGATTCTACAGGTAAAGGGGAATGCCACCCGGTCCCAATATCCAATATAGGAAGGAGATGGGTTAGTATCGACGCGTCAATGATCATATGCGGAGATCAGCGCTGCCCACACACCCTGATAGGAAGTTGGTATCTAAGATTCCCCAGGATTTGACAGTTGGTATTTACCTTAGAGGCCCAAAACTGAAGTTTAGCTACTACAGATACGCTCAATAGGCTAAGTGCCTCGGGAAACTCGCTATACCGAGCTTTCAATCTGGCAGCACTGTCTGGTAACTTACGACAAGACAAGATACCTAGCGTGCGGGTCAAGGACTGGTAGGGCTCGACGAAGGAAGCCGTCTTTATTGTAGCGCACAAGGCACAGCATAAACGCCACCACTAGTGCGTCAACCGCGGAGTTCTATTTACAACTTAGTTGCGCCGCTGGGATCATAGCTATTGTATCCCCTTGCATTGAGCTCTTGATTGTAGTTGTGAAATGACTATGGCATATACAAGCCTTGTGCTACTGTATCAACAACAACTCCTGTGAGATGAATAGACATTGCTGGCTCTGGTAGCAATCCAAAAATAAACCAACGGTCGCAGTGAGCCGCCACCAGGAACAAGGGATTAAACGGGTTAGGCTGAACTACGCTGCGTCTTACTTACACTATGTAGTCTAGCGTATGGCATTGGTAACGCGGTCCTTTCATAATTAATTTTCCGTTTCATCTATGGAAATGCCAGGGGTCTCATCTTATGCGTGAACTCCCAAACCGCCCTTGCTAACGCTCCCTTTTCTTTGTCATCTGCAACGAACGAACGATTACTCGGTAAGTAAGTACATGTGGCCGGTGGGTAGAGTAGCATTATTCCAAGTCCACACGACTGCACTCACTAGCCCTGTGATCCTCAAATGTCCGAAAAGTTTCAACCAACAACCGTGTACTATCTGCAAAGAGGTAGTTGACTGCTGCAAGCGTCCCACTTGCATCACCGGCTGCCTTTTCTGACATTACTTGGGATGGAAACCATCCTGGACAATGCGTCCCGCGTATGAAGGACGTTGGGATATGTTTGCTCACAGCGATTTACGGGCCAAATGTAATTTCTTTATCTTGCCAAACTGCCATAGAAGGGATGTATTCTCTAAGATGGGACCGATTTTTGGCAGGGGAAGAAAGTGCTATTTGCGGCCGTTTCGCCATCTAGTACTATGTAAGTAAGCGACGTCCACTCCCAAGGAAGCCCTTCCTACGGCATCGAGTGTCCCAACAAATCTGAAGAGGATCCTACCTGAGCACCGTTGCCCTGCGCCTTGGCCATCTTTACACTGCCCTAGTATAGATCCGTCATGATCGGTCGTATTGCCGCATATTCAGCTCTCATGCCTGAGATACGACCAAAAGGCCCTACGCTCAAAAAGAAGCCAGCATAGCCTTATACATGGCTTTATTTAGGACCGGGGTAACGTTACTGAAATGGCTCTGGATGATTAGCACCGGGGTCAAGTGGATACTACCAATACTGGTAGGGATGTTCCATGGCAGTCGACCTTCCTTGTGAAGAAGGACGCGGGTTGAAGCCCATCACGGCGCAAATGGTCTGCTTTACCCTCCCTGGTCAAACCCACGAACCCGAGGATATCATGCAACAGATAAATATGGCTGTCCCCCTCGACAAAATGCCGAGATTTCCTTGGCTCAGCAGACAACTCGAGGACTCAAGACCAGTCTAGTGAAGCTTTCTCTATTGTCTAAAACTCGTGTCCTACAATGCAGCTGTCCATCCTCAAGGCCGCGGCCCTTGCCGTCGCGTTCCAAGTTACATCTGCGACCCCAATCCGAGCTCGTAACGATGGACTCGAGGTAGTCGAAACTACGACTACGGCTGACGGCCAGATTATCGACTGGGTCTTACCGGAGTCCCAAGCCAAGGGCAACATCGCAAAGCCCCCTCCAGCTCCCGTCACAAAGCGGAGCGTTCACGTCGACGCTATTCGCGCGCTACTAGCCCGGAATGCAGATGTGCAAGGTCCCAACGGTACCGTGCCCATTCCCCGGACAAGCGGCACCGCTAGGGGCCCGAAGCGCCTACCGACAAAGGCAGACGACGGCTCAGCGTTCAAGATAAACGCTGCCGCCGACGGCAATGCGGGCCAGCATTGGTACGCCAGCTCGGGGCAGACCGTTTACAACAGGGGTGGCAAAGGCACCTTCAGCTTGTTCAAGGCTTTCACCTCAACCGGTGCCGACTTCTCTCTTCTCCAGACGGCCGTCATCCGCAACAACGCGGCCCACGCTGGAACGGGTGCTGTTACCCAGACCGTCGAAGCCGGCTGGATTAACTACCCCAACCAGGTTGCCGACCCCCATCTCTTTAGCTACTATACTACCAACGGCTATAGCTCCGACGCCAATAACCAAGGCGGTTGGAACCGTGACGTTGCCGGCTGGGTGCAGGTTGACTCGCAGATCTACCCCGGCATCCCGTTCGCGCCGCTCTCCGTGAACGGCGGCGCTCAGTACGAGCTGGAGATCGGGTACACGCTCGACAGCGGCAACTGGTGGCTATGGTGCTTGGACAGGTACATCGGGTACTATCCGGGATCGCTGTTCTCTCAGGGCGTCAATGCGGGAGACACCCTGGCAGACCACTCCGACGTCATCGACTTCTACGGCGAGATCTACAACAGCCAGTCGGCGCTGACGACGACAGACATGGGCAGCGGCGAGTTCCCCAACGCAGGATACGGCAAGTCGGCCTACATCCACAACATCGTGACCGTCAACGGCGACGGCTACTACGTCGACTACAACGGCCAGGACCAGCTCGTCATCAGCGACACCAACCGCTACAACATCGCGCCTACGTGGAGCTCAGGCACCAACTGGGGTAGCTTCTTCTACCTCGGCGGCCCTGGAGCTGGCGGTGTTATCGGCGCTTAAGTTGGTAATAATGGGACTATGAAGCAGGAGACAGTGTATATAGGGGAAACTTCTTTGCATATATGACATAACGAACTTATCGGATAACGTATATAACTTATATTTTCACTTTGCATACATCACACCTCTAGTGCCCTGTCTACGATGCATCAGGAAACCTTGTCGGTACTCAAAGGCATTTGCGGTAGCGAGTTTCATGAACCAATTATGACATCCCATGCGCTCTTGTCTTGTAGAATCCTACCCTCTGCCTAGCTCCGGCAACTATACACATGCCGATTAGGTCACCGTTTCAGTCTGAGTAAGCAAGAGACCTGATCCTTCGTAAACAAAATCATACTGCCAGGCTGACCAGGTTGAGAAGGCGGTATTAAGAGGTTGATAACTGAATACCTCACTTTGTATGGCAGGGTAGGCCATTTTGAAGTCACTCCTTGGCAATCCACTAACAGTAGGTGCCAAGAAATTCTTCTTTACAAGGGGAAGTGTTCAATACCGTTGCCGACTAATAACTGAATAGTTAGGAGCACTTTCGGTCATTTAGAAGTTACTGGTTGGGTGGTGATACTATTTTCACTTCCATGGTTGTCGTCATTTAATCGTAGAAGTGCAATGAGCTTGCTGCTAGTGAGAAACAAATGTGAATTTCGGTACTACCAGCCCCCTCTACGATTGGGGGGCTGGGCAATCGGTATGGCCACTATGGCTGATGGTTACGTCTCTCGAAGGATGAAAGAGCTACCTATACTGGTGCCTCGGAATGCTGGGCCGTCGGGATGAGCGATGAAGCGACCTTTGTTATGTTGAATATTTAGGCTTAGGCTACACTAATCATGGTTATTCTAAATGAGAATCATGGCTTCCTTACGGAAGTCGTACTTAGATAAGACAGCATCGTAGAAAATTTCCGCAATATAAGCATATATTTACAGGATTACACTGCGGTCCTAGGGTTAGCGCTGGTTAAAATATCCCGTTAGCTTAATAAGTGTAAATCCGGTCAAATTGGGTATAGGGATCCATGACGATTATGATTAGCCCTTATCTCTATTATCGTGCTATTCTAGTAAAATGCAGAGCTTGGGAAATATAGTATCGCAACCTCAATTCCACAAAGATGTAACAGTGTACAGCTGTCTGAACCCATTCCTCTCTCCGATTATGATGTGGTGCGCAGCTACCTAGGTATTACCCGTATGTTGGTAGACTTGTCCCTGGGCAAGGTGTAATTGTCACCGAACTACTGAAGCGTAATTTCCGACATACAGCACGGACCAAGGAACATTATATATAAAGCTAAATCGAATGAGGCGAAAACTAGAACTTTCTTCCTTGTGCAATAATAAAACATTTACTTGTCATCACAGCAGGACATTACGGTAACAGTAATGAGCTCTTGATACCCGCCTGTATCATGCTGATGTAGGCCTGTCAGTAGTAGCGTATCGACCCAGTACAGCCTTCATCACAGATGACGCGGTCGCTGCTGCGAACGGTTGCCACTTCTTGTTCTTATGGCTATCAGCATAGTCGCAGATCCCCTTGATGACTATGCAAGGAACTTCATCCCAAGCGCCGGCACCCTCCATCTCGAAGGCAACCACGTTCAGCTCTCTGGCGAGTTGGTCACGATGTTTTCCGGACTTTACCACAGTATCCCCGGATGCGATTCGCCCGACAAAAATGTCAGGGCATTGCATTTCGTTTAGCTCGAGTCGCATCTTAACTTCTAGGATGTCCCTAGATAGTAGCTGGGTCTGGTCGCAGTTCAATTCCGCACAAGATGCTTGAGCAGCCTCTTCACAATGTCTCTCAGTCTCTCCTTCGCATACATCGCACGATTGCGGCGCACGATGCTTATGTTGGTAGGTTGCAGGGAAGAGTTTATCTTCGACCACGCCGAGGTATCTGTAACCGTACCGCCGACGCTTGCGAGTTGCCGTAGCTTGGAGATTGCTAAGGTATTCACCAGCTTTTTTACGCAAACGCTCTCTTCCAAGCTCCGTCTCGAAGCTGGCGACTAGGCTGCGAATATCTTTGTTTGCCCGGCCTAAGTTATCCTCAAGCGTATCTTTCATCACAAACGCATTCGGGAATTGGCGGCCGATGTCATATTGGATTAAATTCCTACTAATGATAACGTCGCCGAGGACCGCCTCGTCTGTCCCTATGATCGGCGCGCCGCCGCATATTCCTACGAGAAGGGCAAGCCGTAGTCGTGAATAACTGCACCGAAAATTCGCGGCAGCCCCGGCGGCAGCAGTCTTGCCCATGTTTGGTAAGATTGTCAGCACGACATTATGGTTGCCAATACGTCCTGTGGTGTAGTTGTTGTTATCGCCCGGTGCTCGACCGTACTCCTCACCGTCCTCGTCCCAGAACTCGTCAAATTGCAAGGCAACGGCGTCGTATTCAAGAGGTAGGGCGCAAATGAGGGCGATTCGAAAATCTTCCCGACGAGATGGTCGGGTGCGATTCGACACAAGGCCTTCTGCATGGTGGGTGTCTGAGGACATGGGATGAACTATGCTGATAAGTATTGGAAACGGTGTACACATTATGGGAGTTGTTACCTGTGCCACCGTAATAGTTATTCTGCGTGCCGGTCCCGTTCAGGTTGGATTGAGGTCCATTACCTGCTGCTATATTCTGGGAACTAGCTCCAACATTCTTGATGGAAATGTTCGAGGACATTATCACCCGTACGACTCATGATAGCCGCAAATGGTTCCAAGACGTGAAGGAGATCTACCATGGCCTCTCGTAATCTTAGTTACTTTTCTCGAGCTATCTATAGTGCTCGCCTTGCGACAACTGGGTTTGCATTGTCTTGGCGGGCCGCGGTCCAAGCCCCAAATACTACGCAATAAGGTGGGAGACGCTAACTTTCTATTGAGGGGTTGTCAACTCAGCTGAACGTGGAAAGGTTTCTGCACCTGAATCTACCTTCTATGTCAATCTGTGCCTGCATGGAAGTGTTTATTAACTGTATATCTATCCGAGAACTGAAATATCATCAGTAGTTGCGAAGAATCAGGTTACGACCGTCACGGCCATGCCGCCTGAAACGTCTATCAGCAACCATGATTCCGGTCCCCAAAATGTCGTAATTGGTAGCGGGCCTCAGTCTAACTTCAACGGTTCCGGCACGCAAAATAACTACTACGGGGGTATAGGCAACAGCACCCGAAAGTTTTGAAAAAGCTAATCGATTATAGTCTTCCAAGATACACAAGTCGTCCAGGCGAATAAACTTCGGGAGGAAAAGAGATGTTAGTACTACGTTCTTAGGGCTCCAGTCTCGTTATCCATTTCCTTTCGGTTGGGACTACCACATGGCAAATTACTGACGTATATAGGCTGTCTCAAGTCTCTTAGTTACCCTAGTATGAACTCTCGACGAAATAAAATAGACAATGCTCATCCACATACCTGCGACTGGCTATTTGAGACTACTGAGTTCAAGCAATGGCGGCGCGGTAGCAACCTACGAACCCATAAGGGAGTCCTCTGGATTAAAGGCAAGCCGGGGGCGGGCAAGTCGACACTGATGAGCCACACTTTGTCTCACTGCGAAAAAGTTTTCAGCGACCACCTAATCGTCGCGCACTTCTTCAACGGTCGTGGGGACCCTCTTGACACGACTCCTCTAGGTATGATGCGATCGATCGTATATCAACTCATCAATAAAGACAGTATATTGTGTGAAGCTTTTCTCGAATTATATCGTGAGAATCAGGAGCAGAACGGAGACCAGTTTCAGTGGCAGGAGTCTGAGCTGAAAACGTTCTTGATAGCCAAGCAGTCATATTTCCGCTCAAAACCTCTCCTTTTTCTTGTCGACGCAGTGGACGAGTGCGGAGAAGAAGGAGCAAGAGACGTGGTCGGTTTCCTTGAATCCTTGAGTGTCAATGCTGCTCATATTGGCGTCGAGCTTAGGATATGCCTTTCAAGTCGTCCTTACCCCTGGGTCAGCATGAAAAACAACCTCGAGCTAATTGTGGAGGGAAGGCACGAACACGGCATGGCTATCGCTACGTATGCGCGAGACAATCTGATTATAGAAGATCCATCTATCGAGCACCAGCTGCGACAGAAGGCGGGTGGTATCTTCATGTGGGTTGTTCTCGTTATCACGATGCTAAATAAAGAATACGATGAAGGCCGACCTGAAGACATGCAGAAGACACTAGACGAGATACCTGGAGATCTGGAAGGCATTTTCGAGACGATCTTAGAAAAGGTCAGTCCAAACAGGACCGAATCCATCAATATGCTCCAATGGGTGCTGCTTAGCAAGCGGCCGTTGATGCCAGATGAGCTCTACATGGCGGTGATAGGGAAACCACTCCCGTCCCCCGAGACCATCCGACGACGTATCACTTCTTCGTCCAAGGGTCTTATTGAGATACGCAAGGAGTCCCACGGAGAATTTGTGCAATTCATTCATTTGTCGGTGAAAGATTTCTTGTGCAAAAACAAGAGGCTCGAGATGCTAGACCCAGCGTTGCAGCCAGATGCCATCAGTGCCAGTCACGCGTATATATGGACCCAATGCTGGTCTTATATCCAGCGTCAAAGTACTGTCTCGGCGGGCGAGGGAGATGCGAGGGGCTCAGGCGTTGATTCTCTCTTAACATATGTAGCGACTTACATACTCGATCACGCCGATGGGGCGCTATCGAATGCCACAGTCGCCAGTCGATTAGATCACGACATGTCGCACTGGCTAGCAGCGCGAGATACTTGGGTTCACCAACTTGTGCCGGCCAAGGATCTCGAACAAAGGGATAATCTTTACAAGTATTGGCTAGACAACCTCACTCTCGGGCACGAGAAGCTCATATACATCCTAAGCCTTTTTCCTTACCCCAATCTGTTTAATTTTGCTGTCGACAAAGGCGCCGACGTCAACGCGACTCTCTCCAATGGTCGCACATTGCTGCAGTTTGCTTTAGAACTTAAAGGGTACCATTCGGTACATTTACTTATACGAAAAGGTGTCGATGTGAACGGGCCGGGCGGACGAGCTGCGAACTTGCTACTAGTTGTTTCCCGGTCAGCTTACGAAATAGCGGAGTTGCTTATCGAGAATGGTGTTAATATTCACGCCTGGAACACACCATTTGGCAATGCACTTCAGGCTGCTTGTTATTGTGGGAACAGCCGACTAGTACAATTACTTATTGAGAAGGGTGTGGACATAAACGCACGAGGCGGTCAATTTGGCAGCGCCCTACAAGCTGCGAGTTCCAGTGGCCATTACTCGATAACAGAGCTCCTTCTACAAAGCGGTGCCAATGTTAATGCGCAAGGAGGCACGCACAGCCATGCGCTACAAGCTGCGGTGTCAATTGGCCATTATTCTATAGCAGACTTACTTCTACAAAAGGGTGCCAACGTTAATGCGCAAAGCAGACGTTATGGCAACGCTCTACAAACTGCTTGTAAAATTGGCAATTACTCAATAGTAGAGTTACTTCTGCAGAAGGGAGCCCAGGTTAATGCGCAAGGTGGACATTATGGCAACGCTCTACAAACTGCTTGTAGAAAGGGCAATTACTCAATAGTAGAGTTACTTCTACAGAAGGGAGCCCAGGTTAATGCGCAAGGCGGATATTATGGCAACGCTCTACAAGCTGCTTGTGATATGGGCAATCACTCAATAGTAGAGTTACTTCTACAAAAGGGAGCCCAGGTTAATGCGCAAGGCGGGCATTATGGCACTGCGCTACAAGCCGCATCCGCTGCGGGCAACAGAAGAATAGTCGAGTTGCTGCTTTCAAATAGCGCCGATGTTAATGCCCTAGGGGGAGAATACGGAGATGCGCTACATGCAGCAGCTTATCAGGGAAATGATTATATATTACTGCTTCTATCGCGATATGGCGCCGTGCACGCTGAAAATCTGGTTTCGCAAGATGGTAATAATCTGTGTGAGCTATGTGAACAACGATGCAAGCAACGCAGATTCTTACACTTAGAATTTAATTCTCCATATTTCAACCTAAAGTTAGCACTTTAGGGTTTTAATAATAGATAACGAAATCAGGATTAAAGAGGGAAATAAGTAATTTTTTATAAATAAATTTAGTGACAATTACTTCATGAGTACCTGATGAGGCGTTAGCATCAAACCATGCCAACTCCAACTTGTAGCGGCATGATCGGCACTTCGCCTCCTCAGGGGACATGATATTACAAGTCTAAGACAGGGGGATGTAAGAGAAGACCTAGAACTCAAAAATTCTAGAGTCGCTGGTGAACAGCTACGGAATCAATGCTGAGTGAAGAGGGGTGCGCTACCGCCCAGTAACAAGTGTATGAATTCGTCACAGCTGTGTGGTACACTCATGAGGGCGCAGTGCACAGAAGACTGCAAGTACAATAGGGAAAAATCTCACTAGGGCTCGCAGCTTGAGGTGATAACGCCAGCTCCAGGCTCCAGCTCCAACACATATGTGTAGTTCGCCTAACCCCTCTTTAACGCCACGAATTCCTATTGCTCCCCTTTTCTATCGACCCCCTGGTAACCATCTCCAATAATGGTACCCTAGAAGAAACCACCGATTCTAGGCATCAGGGCCCTCACTTCAGATTATTAACGGGGGCTGGTTTGGGTTTGGGTTTGGGCGATGGTTCTAAAGTCGCGACTGTTTTGCCCCCACGCGTCGGAGGCGGACCATCGTAGTATCCCTTGTACGAATCTAGCCAATGTTGCTGTTCATCGAGGAAGTATTGCCCAGCAAAAGCGGGTTGCGTATCTATAGTCTCGTGCTTATTTGGTTTATTTCGATATGCCTTAGGGTCATTATGAGAGACATGGTGTGGCTTTGACGTGGGGTTTTCATCAGGCATATTGCTAGAGTAAGGCGTTGAAATAAAATCGGACGAGATTGAGAAAATTTCCTATGCTGTTCAGCTCAGTTCTTTGATCCGCAAGACTACAAAGCTTTATACGGCGTATCGGCCCTCACTTACTAAATTGCACCTTTTCATGGCACGTGATATAATCTGTGTAGAAAGCCTGTCAGTCCGCCTCGACGGAGAGTTGGCCTGATGTGGCCGTGTTTAATTGGATTAAAGGCACACCGAGATCTCGCAGTAGAATTCAGGCTCGTATTCACCCTGAAACAGCCTGAAAATCGTGAGAATAGGTCTCGAAAAAATACAAGGAGTACACTCATGTTTTCATCATTGAATGCCGTCGGAAACCAGCCAGGAGGGTTCGGGAATCCCACAGACCAGGAACTATATGATTACCCATGGTAAAAATCCTTTCTCCCAAGAATGAAAATGGTTGATTGTCTGACGTCAGTGAAATAGGAAATACATTGGTTATAAAGACTTTGCTACCTATGCCTCTTCAGACCCCGATTTCTTTGCTCTCCGACGATTCGATAGGCTACATACAAGATCTCTATTGACCTTGCAAGACCAGCTCAGCGAGCTAGAAGAAGGCCTAGATCAATTAGACAACCAGTTGAGCAGCAAGAACACCAAGCTGATAGGGAAGAACCCCCCTAGGATCATTGATGTCCGCCTAGAAAGAACCAACACATATAATGATATCCCTAGAGATATCAACAATGGCACGATTCGTGACGATCTGGCTGAGAGAGCTCAGCTCGTGGCCCAAGTTACAGCAAAGCTCCAACAGTACGGTAAGGAAGCCCCAGGCCGTTGAGAATGAGAGTTTCATTTAATTGAGTGTCAATTTAGACGATGCTGTGCTCAGATACTCGCAAATGCGGCGCCTATTTCCGGCTTCCAAAAGAACTGTCGACAACATAAAAACATGGCTTGATAACAATGAAGGCGCAATCATGGAAGCTGAGACAAAATTTATCCACAATTCTGATGAGCTTATCTCCATTTGCGGCCCAAGGTCGGCCATCCGCCAATGGTTTGAGAACCAGGTTGTCTTGCGCACGCACCCCAAACTTGGAATATTCGGGATCCAACGACACCGACGCTCACCATTAAGCCCACACGAAGAAGTTACTACATATACATTCAGTGACAAGGCTATAGAGGTGTTCGGATCCCTGGTTGTATTTGTGGCGGCGTCTATCATGCTGATTGCCCCCCTCTGGATTTTATCGAGTTTAGGCACCCTTAATCAAAGGCTGGGAGTTATTACGGTCTTCATACTGCTTTGTTTGGGATTTCTCAGTCTCACTACTCTAGGGCGGCCGTTCGAAAGGCTGGCAGCAACTGCTGGGTAAGTGAACCTTATTGCGTCTGTATTTAGAGGCACCTTCCTGACTATGACAGATACTCGGCTGTCTTGGTAGTATTCTTGCAGTTAGGACCACAAACGTGTAATCAATGTTAGGATTTTTTTTGGGAGGGGTTACGAAAAGACCGCAGCGGAACATCAAGTATAAATAGACTCTTGATACTAGGTAAGAGACGGGCATGGTATCGATAATGAACAGGAGAGGATATTGAATTGCTGTTTATAGCTACTTCCATTCTCGTTTTTTTTTGTTGTTTTTTTTCAGATCTGGACCCTTTGGGAGCATATTGGCCTCTGCCAGTAATACCGACTAGGTATCATACCATGACTATGTGTTAGCTCTCTTACACTTATTTCATTTCCATAGACACCGAGAGGCATTGAATATAACAAGTATCACTTACGCAGGTAAACCAGGAACTGAATTCTCTATGGCAAGCATATATGTTTTAGCATTGCGTACTGTATACATAGAAGTACTGTGTCAGATTTTCATATCGGCCATCTGTGCTGTGAGGGCATAACTGAAGGCTACACATTCTCCAGCGCCTGGCGTGACCAAGTTTGGGGCTGTTTTTAGGCCACGGGCTCTTCTTCCGCGCAAACCATGCGACCCAGTTCGCCAATAGGAAACCTAAAAAATCAGGCAAACCACAATTCCCATACCTGGATTTTCTTACATGTGATTGCCGCGAATGCTTTAGCGCGTGGCTGTGGTGATGTGATCTGGGAGTTTGGGGGCCGGAACTAGCATCTGACGCTTTAATAGTTATACAAGAGCCTGCCTAACTTTCAATTTTGCGTGGTCTATTGAGGATCATCATCTTCATAAGACCCCCATTCACTGTGAGGTACTTTATATGACTATGGCTTGGTATGCCCATACCCGCGTCTTGTCTTTTCAATTAGGGGAACAGGGGGTCGTCAGCTACATCTTCATATGTAGCTGAGCGTTGTGCCAAGAAATAAGCGCAACCTGCTATCACCTCACCCGTCTGATTCGCTGAGCAGATCGGGGTAGCTTGGGTGAGAAATGCAGGTCGCTCACACACGTTGCATATCCAATTTTCCAATGATTGATTGAACAGAGTTTGATGTCTTCACCTATGTCATTGGCTTCCTCAGGACTGCAAAACAATGAACCCAGTTTAAGGCTATGCCTTTCTGCATGACACCTACTGTCAACTATGTTCAGCGCAGAGAATATGGTCCTCTTGGGGGCGACACCTAATTCCAAGGAAGGCAAGTCTTCCGCGAGGAGCGAACAGGTTGAGGGGACCTCAGAACAAGTGCAATCCCTAGATCAATCTTCAATTACGCCAATGTCGTCGGAAATTGGTGAAACTATTAGCGATCGCGAAGAATCGCTATATAGCTCAGAAAAACAAGACAACAGCTCTTTACAAAACCTCCAATCTATCCCTGGCATTGCAAAAATGGGATGGGATGATTTCAACGATCGTGTAATTATCAGCCCAGAGAATTTTCTCGGGACATGGAACCACCGCCCAGAAGTCAACGACAAGCCGACGGCTATTATCGATGTTCTCGTTGAAGAGCCAGGACCATATTATAGTCACGTCCAATACAGAGGCAGCCCAGAGAGTCGACTCAATCTTCCCAGCCTCCTCGACGTTCCATCAAACAATTTCAACGCCGTGCCATATCAGATTCGAATTCGATCAAGCCTTCTACTTAAAACTCTGGATCATATAACAGATTGCAAAGTAGCTGTCGGACCTCACGGACACCGTCTACTGCTCCTTCGGCCATTCAAACTGCTAGTGCATTTCGAGCAAGATATCAGGAGTTATGTTAAGGAAATGGAGCGGATGACAACAGAAATGAGCTCTAATGACGAAAAGGGCAAGGTAGAACCTAAATATAACCAGATAGTTTGCTAATAGTGTTAAAGGTGTACACCAGGAGCGAGCTGCCAACAATCAAAACCGAGGCTTCATATCTAGTCAACGAAGTGCATCGCACCTTAGGTTTCCAACGAAAGAAACCCAGTCAACAACGGCTATGGAGCATCTCAAGTTACTTTGCACCTTAATGGATGAGTGTCTCAGCCGACCAATGCAGTTGCAGCGGGGTATTAGCCCTGATATTACTAAAGTTACCTTCAACGATTTGTGGTATATATTCAAGCCAGGATACGAAGTTCGAACTCCTGGGGACTCACACGCACAACTGTGAGTTTCCATTTCCTGTGACAGGGTCAAGGTATAGACTGACTATTGTGTCTCTGCTCAAGATATCGAGTTGTCAAAGTTACTGGAGGGCGTAAAGTGCAGCGGGTATACCAATCAGATAATCATGCTATGTCACGGAACCAAGGAAGCCTAATTTCCGATATATAGCACGGACCAAGGAATATTATATATAACGCTAGGAAAGGGAATAGGGGGCAAAAACTAGAACTTCCCTCCTTATACAATAATAGAATAAATATATAAAACTATAGCTAAACAATACTATAATAGTTTATTATATTTAAAAAATAGGCAATATCCTTCCTTAAGGATTAGCTTATATAAATACTTTAAACTTACCTTTAAAACGTTATAGAATTGGGACCTTTAACCCCCGGCATTCCTACCCCGGTAAAACTTCCTATATATAGGTATATAATTATTAATATTATTAATAGTTACCTAATAATTATAATAGCTTTATAAAACTTAAACTTAAATGCTATAACTTTAAAGGATATATTATAAAGATTTATAAATGCTTTAAAATAATTTTAATAATTCCTTTAATAGCTATTACTTTATATAATAAATATAATACTTTAAATTATTACCTTAAAGGAAAATGTAAATATATTAATAAAAGAATTTAAATAAAAAAATATTAAATATAAAGTATATTAAAATTTAATATAATAATAAATAAATATAATAAAGTAAACCTATATTAAAGTTTTAACTTTAAAAATTATATTA